TCCAGTCATGGCTTTACAAGAGCTCAGAGAAAAGTGGGAGAAAGAACTGTCTGTCACAATCAACGCTGTTGAGTGGGAAAATATATGGACCTATGCTAAATCAATCTCAGTTTGTAATCGTGCCAAATCAATACAGGTTAAGATTTTGCATAGAATGCATATATCCCCTAATCGCAGCAAGTTCAACCCTAGTTTGTCTTCAATGTGTCTTAAATGTAAAACTGAAATTGGCACTCTAACTCATTGTCTTTGGTCATGCCATAAGCTGCAGAAATATTGGTCTAATGTCTTAACAGAAATTGAAAAGATACTAGGATTGAAGCTGGGGATGGACCCATTGTCTCTTATATTAGGCTTACCTGCTAGAAGTGTAAGGTTAACAAATCAAAGACTGTTCTGTATTCTTACATTTGCAGCTAGAAAGAATATTTTGTTGCAGTGGATTAGCAATAAGGAACCAAATGTTAAGGGATGGCATAAAGTGCTGTTTGATTTAGTGCCTTTGGAATATTTGACTTGCGCATCACATTCAAACTCAAACCAATTTTATAAAGTTTGGGAACCTTATTTGAATTACTTATATAATACAATGTATCTTCCATTCTGTTACAGGGATTCCCTGGGAGGTCATAATAACGGGATTTCCTTTTATTCACTTATTTATGTACTTTGTTTGTTTTTTTGTTTTTTTTTACTCTCTTTATTAATATGGATACTGTTTGTGTGTAACTGAGTCACTGTTTGTTGCTTGAGCATTGTTGTGTTGAAGTTTTGTGTTTGCTTGTTTGTGTTGAAAAAGGAAAATTAATAAACACATTTAAAAAAAACTAAAAACTAAACAAAAGGTAATTTAATAATAATTATTAATGATAGTTAATCATTAGTAGTTTCTTTTGCTCTGTCCATCAAAGTTAATGTACCCACTGAGATTTTTTGTTCACCATACGTTGCTTTAGAAAGAATGATGACTGAGGAGGCTCCATGAAAAAATAAATGAATTTCTTGCTGTTTTATAAAAGGAAATGAACAGCTTGTCTGTGTGGGTCTGTATGAACCTGCACAGCAGTCTGATCACAGCATGTTCCTGTGTGTTTCGGGTCACTTCACATACTGATAACCATATGTAGCACATGATGGGATCAGGCTCTTATACTTCGCACTGACACAGAAGTGAGAATCCAAACAAGGCTGAAATGTTTTTGGAGTAAACACTTGCTACCCTCTTGAAAGAAAAACTTTGTGGACAGAACGTCCTCCGAAGCAAACTGTCCTTCAGCATGTTGCCTATGACGTATCAAACAAATCAGCCAACTAACCCACAGTACCTTCACTGCATACATGCTACAGCTAAGCACCACGTCAACACACTGCACCTCAGTTAAAAAAGATATATGCATGAGTATACGTACGCGTTGTTGTAAGTGGAGCACATGTTACATTTATTACTCCAGGACTGGGAGCTTCGAAGGACAGGGGGAGTTTTAACACTGCTAGTGTAGCAGTGGGGGACCCAGCAGGGAATACTGCCAAAGAGCGGGGCAGGCACAGTGGGTTCAGGCAGGGACAGGAGAGGCATGAAACAAAGAGGAGAGAGTTTGCAGTGAGTTAATTTATAAGTAGCTGTTAACGTTATTTTGTTGGAAGTTATCTATTCCATGTCTCGAACAAGACTTGTGTGATGTTACACTAAAATAAATGAACTAAATGTTCAGTCTCCTTGCTGGTTGTTCCAACACATTCATCTTTTTCAGTTACACGTATCATAAAAAACTTTAGTTAGGGGCAGTGTTATCTACAGAGCTGTGGATTACTGTGTTTGCTAGTACAGACGTGTGGTTGTATAATATGCAATGTGGCCGTGCACTACACGGCAGCGACCACCTTTCACAAAGGATGTTAGATGCCCCCTGGTAAAATAGTGGTGAATACACAATGAGCTTGGTTGACATACCGTAAGTTCTAGGTTAAACGTGTTGGTGTTAACGCGAGTGAGTTGCAGCTTCCGTCAAAAATAGACCAGCCGCAATTCCCAGCAAGTCAACACTTAATTCCTCAGATCCACTATGTTTAAACTAATACATTACTATCCACTCAGGTTGCTAAAGAGAACCGTAAAGAACTAACAGTTCTAGGCACCAGTTGGAAATTATACCAAAGATGGGCCTAATTTCTGCTTTTAAAATTGCATTACATTTGTTGAAGAATCTCAAGTTTAGGACTTGGGTCTTGAGATTTATTTGTGACTTGCAAATCAACGACTAGTCCCACCTCTAAGCGCTAGTGAGGTGTTTGATGTTTGTTGGCTGAATCCTTTGACACCTCATAGTTGCCCTCCGTATGAATTGTTCAAAGGACAAATGCCTGCGACTGCTTGTCTCTCTTATGTCCTTTTGGCATTTGGCAAACCATGGCGCACACATGCTACACTTAGTTGCCGAGCAACACAATGGTTGTTGACGTTGCCATCTGGAGAGGGAATCAGGGAATTTGTTGTTGTACTCACCTGTCTGAATGTCATTCTGTGAGCTTTGTGCACCTGAGGTCCTCCACAGTCTTTTCTGAGTTCAGTTTCTCTGATTATTTATTATCAAAGCATTTATAGCAAGTATCACCAGTCCAATCAGCCTCTTTGGTTCTGGAATAATGGTCACAGACAACACACCTCATCAAAGGTAATGGTTCCTAAGCATGGTTGGAACATTTTAGCATTTAGTATGTTAGTCAGTCCCAGCATGCACCTAAAGGTCACGCAGCATCAAGGGTGTTTGATTTGGGTCACTTAGCATGCTCAAGATGTGGTTTATTGGATGCAACCCACGCTGAGGTTTAAAAATGCTAGACTTAACCCATTAACCCACTGTTCACTAAGTGTGACCACTTCCCCCACACCCCCTGACAGTGGGCCAATTAATGTATACATGTAGAGCTCACTGGGGCCCTGCTCTCCTAACACACCAGCTGCTGTTTTTGTTGCCTTCTTCTGTTTTATTTATTATGTTATATTTTATCTCGTTTCATCAGGACTTTTCATTCGAGGTTTGCTTTCGATCTGTAATAGATATAATAGCGACAAATGTGAAAAAGTACTACACACAAAAAATGTTAAGCGTAAAAGTGTAAATGGGATTTGATGCTTCCACCCGGGCAAAATGGCATCACAACAATAATTAGAATTTAAGCTTATTGTAAATATTTGTCACCCGCCTGCCTGTGTTGTGTTGGCCTGTGCTCTGACAGCAGGAAGGTTACATGATGTCAGTAAGTGAACACATCCTGCAGCACTGTGATTAATCACACTCTTCCTCCTGAGCAGAGATGCAACAGTTTAATGATACGGTTCATATCTACGGAGTTTATGTTTATCCTGTCTGTGGGAATGCTTTTCTTGTATTCTATTCTTTCCTTTTCTATCTATTATTCCATTCATGGTGTACATCTGTGGCAAAATGCAACATTCATTGGGAAACACCCATCTTTCAAATCCCACACCACCAGTTTGTAACCCAGACTTTCTGTTCCTCCAGAGCCACAGAGGACATCATACAACCGTTTTCATAATCTAAATAGACCTCCTCGTGACTAGTAAACTGACTTTGACATGTGAAATTGGTAAAAGAGTTCCCCTTTAACCATCATAACCCTCATTCTTACCCTGAAAACAAAGACCAAACCTTCAAACGGAGGACAAGGGAAAATGTCCTAGATCTCAAGATCCAAAAGTCAAACTGGTTCTCACAAAGATATAAGTACTAGAACACACACACACACACACACACACACACAGTATCTCTCTTCCATAGCACTTGTTAGTCCTCTAGTGGAAACAGAGAGAATTTGTATATGATTCTGTATTCAGATCATTCATTTTGGCATTAAATTGAGCTTTTCATTTGCTGTGTTCATCTGCTACTGAACTGGAATGCTTCTGATTAGACAAAGATAGATGAAATAATATGAACTAATCTACCATTGATTATTTCATTTGTTTTTTGTTAGTTTGGTATCATTTAAATTGAATTAGTATAGCAGTAGTGCTGGTATTCAAATCTTTGTTAATGTATTTTACAAACATCAGAACACATAGAAATTAGAAAAAAGGCAGTAAGTATATAGACTTTATTAGTTTATTAATCATTAATAGTTTTACATACATAATAACATAATAAAAGCTTTGATATTTCATCGAAAACAACCAAGGGAGGAAGAGCTTTAGTCTGCATTTGTATCATTTTTAAAGAAAGCCTGAAAGTGTTTTGACTTGTTTTGGCTGATTAAACCTCTACTCAGGACTCTGTACCCACTGACTGGTTGACAGCTGCTTGATTGTTTCAGTAGATGAAGACTTGAATTGACTACCCCTCAATGAGCAGAAAAATCACAAAGGTAACAAAGCCTTTTTGTAAACGTGCAAAAGGGAAAACGTCACACACTCATGCATGGAGCAATTTTGGAGTTTAAAAATATGTCCCAAAACTCACTGCAGTCAGATTGTGCGTTGGGCAATTTGAGGTGATTTGAAACCTGGATGAAGACCTGCCAACATCAGGAGCACCAACGTGCATTAGATGATTCATGTTTCTGTAGGTTGTAATACTGCTGGACAGACAGCAGAGGGAGCTACTGAATCAGTTATCACAGGGGACTATTTGTTTAGATTAGAAAAGTTTAAAACTCTGACAGGGAAGGTTTATGGGTTTAGGTAGTGTAATGTTGTAATATAGGTATCTTTCATGTGCAGGATGAGATATGGCGATAATGTGTTGACTGAAATTAAACTCTGTGTGTGCCCGTTTAGTATGTTCAATACAAAGCCTTGTTTTCTGAGGAATTTAAGCCCAGTACTGTACTATGTACAAATTGTTACATTATCTACAATATACTAATTCACATTCATCATGTGCTGTTTTTGAAGAGGCACAGGAACAGGAAATGATAAAAGACAACAGCAGATTGACATTTTTTGGGAGGGGGGTTTACACTCAGAAAAGAAGGACACCATCACTGTTCGATCATTCTGTTTATTTTCAATATACATTTCATTTGAAAAATATAAATTCTAAAATAAACCATTTCACCTGCTCTAAAAAATCACAAAACGTTAATCAAAAACAAACAGTCAGTATCAGTTTTCGGTACGCTAAAATTAACAGGTATTTCATTTCATGTTGTAGATTTTTGTCCCACATGCTTACACTGTACGACACACTTTAAATGAACAACTCCACAAATAATGTGTCTCAGACATTAAGTCACACTTGCTTCCACTCCCTGCTGTTGACAGCTACAAACACTGATGTGGAGTATAAATGACATTACTTCGGCAGATGATCTGAAACTGACAAAATCAAATTAAACACAACGATCAAGACGGTACAAAGTAACTTGGTGCATTTTGGTTCGAGCCGACATGCCTTCACTGTATGTACATGATTTTTAGAGAAGGGAAGGCGGCTCATTTATCACGCAGTTAAAATGTATTTCTATAGTGGTGATGAAGACAGAGAGGACTTCCATCTTAAAATTAAATCTGTGACCCACTACTCAAAAATTTAAGAAGTGTGCTTTAGTGTGCCCTTAGAGATAAAGTGGGGATACTGTAATGACAAACGGTGCTTAAGAAGCCATTCTGGCTCGTTGTACTGTCGGTAATACTGGCCAATGAAAGTCAAGTTGTCAGATATGAGAGGCTCAATTTTTTCTTTATATGACAGTGGACTCACTGGTCCCTCTGTAAGGAATGCTGTGAAGTAGAAATATGCAGTGAATATAAAGTTTGTACATCTTCTGCCTCATTTGAGCAGATTGATTCGTAAAAACAACAGTTTTAAGGATGAGATTGGATTTTTATAAGTCTACCTTAACATACCACTCGCATGCTCGCACAGGACTCGAGGCGCCCAGTGGTGACTTTGCAAAGCTGAGAAAGGTTCAACAACACAAGTGTCGACTTTGCAAGAACCAATTGCAGAAGTTTTACAACAGACCTTTTTTCACAGCAGCATTTTTTACATTAAATAGTAGTAGTAGTTTGTATCATTGGTAAGACCTGTGTTTACCCTGCTATTTCATGTCAAAATGGCTGCTGTGAAGAAATCTTTTATATTTAACATGCAGAAAAATACATGGAAATACACCGCTTGGAGAATTAACTCAATAGCGGCAATATAATGGCAATGTAAGAATATAACTGTCCAATTGGAAAAAGGCAAAAAGCTTTTAGGAGTCGGCCAGCCTCTTTGTGTCTGTATGTGTGAATATACTCATATTAGCTTTCACGTTTTTGCACAGAATACAGATGGTGGACCTAGTCACCTTATAAGTTCCAATTTAGTGGCTCTATGAAGAGACTGCGTAATGCCCTTTATAGACCGGAAGAATTACAAAAGCGACCAGTCCTGTACACTGAGGGTAGTAGCAGTAGTAGTAGTATACAGTATGGCATGTGAGTGTATTAAGATAGACTTAATCCAAATCTTTTAGTGTATAAAACATAAACAAAAAAAACGTGTGATCCCATTTTCACATCAGATAATTCCAACAGCAGCTGAGACAAAAAGAAATAAACCTGCTGTGGACTGAAGCTGTCCCACTGCATGGAGCTTATATGGATTTGATTCCATTCTCATTTGTCATACCGTTACCATATGAATTTCAATCTGGATTGATCTCTTATAAGCCACTTAGGTAGAGTAGTTTGTGCAGCACAAGCAATTATATGATATGCACTCCTAGTTAGAGTTTAAGTTTGGCTGAGGAAAATCGGATGATTATGTTTAGCTGAACTGTTTTCTACCCAGAAAGAAACAAAAATGAAAGACACAAGAAAAGGTTACCAACATACACACAACATGATCATTAAAAAAAGAGGGAAAGAAATGTAGGATTTAATTTAAACAAGTAAGAAAAGCTTTGAAGTGAACATGTGAAAGAAAGATTCAGAAAATTAGAAAGAGATAGTGAAGCAAACAAAACTGCATCAGAAAGTGATAATAAAAATATTTACCCCATCTGCACATAGAAATATGCACTTATTAACTGTTAATTAACTTAAAAGATCTATTTGCACACATTTCCTTCACATGCTATAATACAGTGAATCTCTTGAATCATTTCAACTCTACAAGAGGACAGAGAAAATATCAAAATCCCATGCTGCATCAAAAAATCAACATGTTGCATTTGTTCATGATAAGCAATTGATCTAAAATAAGAGGTAGAGCTATAAAAACATAGTTTTCCTGCTACAGGAAAATGTTATTAGAGTAATTCAATTTATATAAAAAAATCAGACAGATATTTATATATATTTATATAAAAAGAGCAGGGAGGGCGTACCATGCATGGTCAAAGAGAGCTGCAGCATTTACTGTTGATCAGCAATATGTGGGATGAGTTGCATAGAAGAGTAGTAAGGAGTTACATTTAAGTGTCAGAAAACAGAGACTGTTTCCTGTGGAGCTGTGAGAAGAATATCAAGACAAGATTGTGAGGAAAGAAATGGTTTTAAAATAGCTTCATTATAAGAAATGTACTGTCGTGTTAAGACTGCCTTTTTTTTCCCTTAGCGCGTCCCTTTTTTCTGTACCACCTTTTCACAACAAAGTTTTGAGACCGTGGAAAGGATTTCGTTTGAGTTAAAAAGAATAAAGGAAAGTCAAAGAGAGAGTTGTCTTGCAGGATTCGCCTGGTGGTGGTTCGGTGCTCTACAGAGACGTTTCAGATCCTCTGCTCTTCCAGTAGAACGTATTATCATCGTCTGGGTCCATTTCTATTCTAATCTGAGGCACAGACTTCAGCGGACTCATCTCAGGGCTGCAACACAAAAACATCTATTGTTAGGACATATACTTAGATGCAGTGTGATCTTTAACTAAAGGAATAGTTTAATGTTTTTGGGAAATTCATATTTGCTTTCTTGAGTCCAACAGGGAGTGAAACACCAGCAGTCAGTCAGGCTTGAGACATCACAGTTTACAGTTTCTGGTTCAACTTTACACTACCATGCACAGAGGGTTATTCTGCCAATTGTTATATTTTATGATCATTTATTTGATGTGATTCTCTCTAAACTTAATTTTTTTATGACATTTCCGATGTGCTAACTTTATATTTTAAATTAAGTGCTTTAGAGCTCAACCAATATATTGCTGCACCGATATCGAGTTTGGATCTTGCAATGCAGGTTTTTTTTTTTTACTTTTTAGACTCTCCACCCTCCTGCAAGAAAGTCTGCAGTGATAGCCATGTTGGCAGATATCAGCAATTACTTTAGTGATAGAAACGATTGAAAACTACAAAAATGAGACCAAGATATACCGTAAATAAGCCAGAATTGTTCATTAAATAAACTTAAATGTTTTATTAGACACTTATCTATATCTGGTGTCATCATACAAACTTTATGCTGTCATTCCCTTTACGGAAGCCGAACATTTTTCAGTTTGAGTAGTGATACAAAAGTGGTCTTTTCTAAATTAATAATTAATGTAAAACCATTTTTTACAATTTCAGAATTTTGGCAGTATCTTTTTTACTGTTGTGCATGGAAGTGTCCAATTGGAAGTGTCAATTGGACTTCAAATGCCTCCTTAATTAATATTGGATGATATAGTGCTTTGCCCCTGTGCTTAAAGATGAATGAATATCAGAGAGGAGAATCAGCTCAGAGCAGATTGAAGTTGAAGATCTATAAACATTTATTTACCAGTGGTGCTAGTATTAAGGAATTTAGTTTAATTGATTAAGTTGAACCTTTGGGGTCAGATCATAAATTTAAAATGTAGCTTGATACAGGCGGTTGTAATATCTGACTTTGTGTAACGCTCTGCGGTGTGTAAAATTATGTGTTTATGAATGCATTATTGAGATAAATCATTAGTGCATGTCTTACAATACTGTGTTTTGGTCTCCCACAGCACTGCAAAAATACAACCAGTGATTGTGGTTTGACGGTTTCTGAGGTCATCTGAGCTCAAAGCAATTTGGCTTCAGTCTTAGTGGGGACAGGATTAGTTTTAGAGGGGTGGGGGCAGCATAATGTCATCACAACTAGAGCATAACTGTGGTTTATGCCCTGTCTGACGTCACTGACTCAAATGGACACATGTCCGGACCAATGTAAGGCCCACATTCTTTAAAGTAACATGAGATCAAACTATTCTCATTTCACAGCACGTTGTTTTATTGGCATTTCCAGTCAGGAGAGGAGATTAAAGCTTCATCAGCATAGAGCTAATTAAAGCTACTTGTCAATGTTTGACACAAAGAAAAGAAAATAGTAAAAAGGGAAAAAAACTGTGGTGGAAAGTAACACAGTACATTGTACTGTAGCTAAGTACAGTGTTGATGTACTTGTACTTGAGTATTTCCATTTCAAACTACTGTGTACTTCTAATCCGCTTCATTTCAGAGGGAAATAATGTTTTTTTTACTCCACTGCATGTATCTTGAACTTTAACTTTAGTTCCTTTGATTTGATCAAAAACCTATATTGAGTTTTTGAAATATGTCTTCATATCTGACCACTTCTTTTTCAACTCCGCTGCGGTGCGGTTCTCCGACCCTACCGAGTTTACTGCCTGTGCCACGCAAAATAAATGTATTTTTTTTGCCTATACCTCCGTCAGCAGCACCTCCAATTCACACACTTCTGGCTTTGCATTTTCCTAAAGACACGCACTATCCTAGTTCTATTGTATACTAATTAGCATATTCAAATCGGTGTATTTGAGGGAGGGGCAGGGTGGAGCGTCTGTGCTCGTGCATGTGCACTCAATTCTCACGTTGGGGATCTGCGATTGGACAAACCGCCAGGTAGCGTGGGAGTTCTGCGTACGGCACGTTTTGCATTACATTCTGATTTTTTTGTGCGTACGGAACTTTCACTCTTTCAGTGTACGCCACATTCTAGTAGGAAATCCATGCAAGTCTTAGTACATGAGGCCCCTGGATACTTCTTTCACCACAGTCAGTAGAAAATGTTTGTAGTTAGTCTCCATCCATGTGAATAAAAGCCAACCCGTCAGTCTGATCTCTAGGGCTGGAGACCAATTAGAAAAAGAAATCTTGTAAGTTGTTTGTTGGTATCACAGATATACTGTAATCACAGCTGCTTTTCACACATTGTCGCAAACAATAATCCTCTTCCATCAGCACTGTTCCAACAATCCTAGAGCAGATGGGGTAATACAAGAACAAAATGTGAGCCTGTGCATACGACCCGAGGATCCTGGTCATCGAAAGAGGATGTGGGCATGATGAAGAAACATAATCTCTTCTTGAGCATCATAATCATTGCTCTAAATATTTGCCCGAAACAGAAGGCTTGTTCTGCCTCTTTGAAACTGATTGTCTCCTCTAAAGCTCATATCAGTGAAGCACAGAGTGTATTTATCACTGTTACACAGGTGCACTCAGAAAGAAACATTGTGGAACATTTCAACCATTATCTAAATTCCTGTAATTTAAGTTGTTTACATTTGTGAATTAAGTTTTTTATTTAGCAGGTAATATACTTATAGTCTGTGTCTGCATCTGTATCATCTGGTATATAGGCAAGACTACATATATGTCATATAATTTATAAACAACGCCTAGACAATTCTTGGTCGTCATCCCCCCTCTTACTCAGCTTTCAACAAAACAAAATAAAAAGTCAAAAAAATAAAATAAAATGCCCCAAAATACCATAAAAAAAAGTTGCTGTGGACCCAAAAATCTTATTGATAAAGCTTAAAAATGTTAATGTTGTGTTACAACTTGTGTATTGCTGGTTTAACCATTGGTAAGTTAATTAGCCTGGGTGACCTTTAAAGTTCAGACTAGCATTATATGTTAGCTAGTTATCTCGAGCTTCTGACCTTTTGTGATCCTTGATGCCTCAGTTGTGGATGAATTCAAAAAGCAAAACAGTAATACAGCAGTAATATTTAGTTCTGTTTCCCCTTAACCATTTAATTTGGACTGTTAGGCAAATGCATTTGCAAAAGTCTGTGACTGTCAGGTTCTGAACTGCATACGACACGCGTCCCCTTCACTCTCTCACGCACACACTCACATCTCACCTGGACAAGTAGTTGGCCTGGTAATAGCGAAGCTTCTCAGCACGACGTGTGTCGCTCAAGGAATGATGGGGACTTATCTCCTGTGGAAGAAAAAAAACAGCCATGAGTATGCATGTAGCCTAGAGAAACCGTGTCAACCAGCAAGATGAAATTAGCTGCTAGGGTTTGGATTGGCTGACAATCTGCACACTCATGTACAGTATCCATTATCTATTTAAAGATAATATGTTTAGTTTTTAATAATACCGCTGAAATGTTAGTACAAAATTGGATGATGAGTAAGAAGTGATACAACTAAACTGAAAAACTAGATAGCATAATTGTATACAACAAAAAGGCACACAGCATCCCATGCTAGGCATAAACAGAAAAAATGTTTTTGTCATTATTTGCTGTTGTAGTTCACTATATTCCAATAAGGCAATATTTTACTCAAACATATTGTTAGTACTTAATAATAATACAATACCAGTGAGGAATTTGTTAAAATATTAACTTTTACTTAACCTACACAATTACAAATTAAGGCAAAAACTTAGTTAACACGCCTATACTGTATCTAACTTTTACAAAAAGTTGAAGTGTATCTGGGTTTTAAACAAGCAGCGTCTACAAAAAGGTCTAAAATCAACAAAATCCCTTGAAAAAAGAAATCAATTAATATTTTAAACAGGTAAGCTGAAATTGTAAACTGAATAGCGAAAAAGGGTTAGGTCAAGGCAGCAGGAATGCAGCAGAAAGGAAAAGACAAATAAAATCAGTATTACTGGAACACATCATAGTCCAAGACAAAAGTACAAAGAGGAGAAAGTGAGTTAATTTCATGCATGTTTTAAAACACAAGAAAAGAGGCAATGGAGGAAAATGTTTAAATCATGCAGTGAGCGAAAGAAACGGACAAAACAACATCAAACTTTTAGCAATGGAATAAGTCCTCAGAGACACAAGCGGAGCATGAGAATCGGGCAAGAGGAAGAAGTAGTAGAAGTAGTTTTCCTCCAGTGCAGCGGGTAGTTTGGGTCTACTCACTGTCAGAGGCCTTATCACCTAAGAAGGGCTCCTGCTCCATCATGTCCATGGGGATTTTAATGCTGGGAACATTCTCATTGTAAGGATAATCAGACTGTTGGAGAGAGGAAATACACATCCTGAGACGGGACCTCTGGGGGTGTCGGTGAGTTAGCATCAGCACACACACACGCACATGCATTAATAAACCTGTGATGACACTGGTCAACATTCCTTAACCCTTTGCTTTTAAAATCCACTGAAAAATACAAACAGTTGATTGCAAAAACAGGTAGTTTGTGATGCATCTTGAATTTCTGGGTCCATTTTATAATTTCCTGGTTCCAAAAGGTAAAAGAGACAATGTAATATAGCATTGAGAGCTTTATGTGGCAGCTAGAATCAAGCTGGAAAATCAGATATTGGATAAACCTTTCTGCCTGTCTGTAAGAACCAAAGGGGAAGAGCTTCTTAAATGAGCGACCACACTTAAATTTAATAACAGTTTAACCCCATTGATGTCAAGCTTCAGTGGGGGTCGCCTTGGGAGAGAAGTCATTTCAACTAGACTGTACAAAATATACAACTCGCCGTTTTACGTCATAACAGGACAAATATGTCACTAGGCTGTCAATGATCTTGGTTTTGAAATTTAAAACCAGAAAACTCTTTCCAAGGTTTTCTACATTTTCTGCTAAATTATCCATCAAAATGGGCCAGGCAACCGATATGATTTCATTTATAAGTAATTCAACTCTTTTAAATAGTTGTGTTGGTTTCAAGAGTTGGCGAGTCACATCATCATCTAAAGAACTTCTAATCTGGTCTGTCTGGACCCGATCTGAAACAAATCCATTAAAGAAACATCCCCGAACATTATGTGAGTGGCAGTTTGGATCTGCTCGAATATTAGACACATAATGTGGACACTGCCCAACTTGGGTTCCTGGTCGAGTGTCTGTAGAAACTGAGTGGCCCCATGAAGACCTTTGCTTCAAGCTTTCAGGCTCAATTACTTAAAAACAAGTTCTACCACTAAACCTCAAGAGGGAGGACAAGCTCACTTTGGAAGTCTGGTTTGAATTGTGTATAATTATCCTGAACCTAAAATGCAGAAGTATAAACACACACGTACAACAGTCTTGTGCAAATAAAGTGAAAGAAGCTTAAGTCTTGTTTGCTTTTACTGAAAATCAGTCAGATTTGAAAGTGATTTCCAGTGGACCACAAACCAGAATCCTCAAGATCGTTTCTATCGAGGTCTAAATAATCACTGAAAATGAAACAATGGCACTTGCATCTATAATATCTCTGCAAGATTTCTGGATTCTTATTAATTCACTCAAACATGAAACTACTTTACACTAGCTGAAAATTAGGGAAAAACAACTCCACAAGCAATTGCATGAAGGAAGCTGACATCTGTAGATAAACGCTCAAATGGTACATGCTGCTGCAATTGAAGACAACTGTGAGTTGAGGGTGGGGCTGGAGGTAGTTGGTGAGGTTGACAGACTTGGGAATGGGCTGTCATATAAAACAAATTATAAGAAAGTGGAGGAAAAATAAGACATTTACTTGTTGCATTCAAGTGGGGCTGAAACTGTAAACTCAAAAGTCTTACGTCTTCAGCGTCGCTGTCTATGCTGCCGCGTTTTCCCTTTTTCTTTTTCTCGTCTTCTTTCTTCTTCTTGTCCTTCTCTGGGATGACATCATCCAGGAAGCTGAGGTCATGCTGGGAGAACATGTAGTCCATCGCTTTTCTGACGGCTACCAGAGCGAGGATCTAAAAGCAGAACAACAACAGGATAAGAGTTGACTGGGAGGCAATTCATTTGCTGAATTATCAAATAATCTCACATTTTTAAAATTGTATCTATTTTAGTTAGTTAATTTGAAGTCAGCTTCTATTTTGTGTTGATTGTTGATTTGTGTTGATTCGGGCGACCCCTGTGGACAAAAGTGGTAGTGTTTCCCTTGCCTCGTCTGATTTCGAGGGGAACCTGACTAAGTCCGACTTGGTGGCAGGCATTAAGAATAATGATAAACTATAAAGAAATAGCAACTGATGGTCTTATTTGTTTATGTGGGTCACATACAGGCATCAGCATTCAAATGCAGCATTCTATTTTATAACCAGTTAAATACGTTTAAATAACACAAATTACAACTGGCTTACATCTTATATATAATACATTAAATGTGATAAATAATAATAATGTTTATACACTGGGTTATGTCAGGGTTAGGGTGAGCAATGTCAATTAAAGTTTGAGACAGTCACTTCCTGCCCAACAACAATAACTACAATACAAAGTAAAGATACAAGTACAATATTGTCATAATAAAGTCTTGAGTGTTGCATTTGTGCCCCTGAACCATAACTATGTGAAACATCATGACAATTATCCCTGGATTATAACTCATATAAACAATCCTCTAAGTACAAATGATAAGCTTAATTTACCTGTCAGAGTGATGCAGTGTCTGATCATGTCAAGCTGGCTGTATAGCGCATTGAGCTGTTTTATAATGCTGCTTACACATGCATGCACATGCATTTTTCACTCATCCTTTAAAATGACAAGTTGATTCTTGTTTCAGTGGACTGACAGAAAACTGAGTATAATTTGGAAAACAGATAGACTGGTGACAAATGTTATATTCTGCTCACATATGATGAAGTTATTATTATTTTGGTTGCTGGCCACAATAAGTATAAAATCTTAAAATAAAATATAATTATTATACATTATTGTTATTATTATTGTATACAATATATACTTGACTGTTTGAGTTCAACCTATGAAATATTGACAGAGAACTGGAATTTTTCTTTAGTTTTCAGGTGAAGTCTGGATACGCCACACTAAGGTCATGACTCACATGAGGACAACTGAACCGACATGAATCTAAATAACAACAGAGCAAATGCCTGCTGATGAAGGCCACTACATGCAGCTGAAAGTTCTTAGAACATTTCCAGTAAGTGCAAGACTCAGGTAAAAAATACACGTCTTATTGGGTAACTCTTAATATAAATCTCTCTTACCATGACGGGGAATATAATAGCAGCCACAGTGGACTTGAGTATCCAGAGCATAGCCAAGCAAAGGATCTGGATGAAGGTAAAGAGGTGGACCTTCCTGAGGGGAACATGCCGCAGGTAAACCAGGTCTGGCTGATGCTTCGCTGGCATCAAAAGCAGCTTGAGACGATCCATAAACTACAGACAGGAAGAAGTACAAATACAGATGACAGGATATACATGCATGCATGACTATATCAGGGTAACAATATCTCACTGGCTTGCACAAGTTCTTGGATACTCAGATGTTAGAGGATAAGAGTTTATTAGTTTTTATTTTTTCAGATTAGTTTACTTGCTCTACACTCCACATTACTAATGCTATTATATAAAGAAAGAAAGAAATGTAATATTTACCTGCACTCCATTGAGAGAGGCGACTCCCATGTATAGGAAGACTCCATACAGCACAGGCATGGGGATAAACTATGTAGAACAGAGAACAAAGAATTAACATAGTGTAAACTGTAACACTTTTTTAAAACACATCTTCAGAGAAAATCTACTGAGAAACTGCTTTGTACTGTCTAAAATGTGTAGCTTTCACTAAACACTATTTAAGGTTAATCTGGGGAAAAAAACACCAATTTCCAGGTCAGTGTTTAAGTAAAAGCTGCTTCAAGAATATTTATTATACCAAATAAAATGCACAATTGTAATTTTAATATAACCACATAACCTAACCTGGACTGCAGCGTTTGTCAAAAACTATTCTGTTTTTCCTTTTTGGCAGTTTCTTCACAATGTCAAACACAACCACTCAGCTTTTTATTTTAAAATGTATAAATATAACGGGTCTCTCAGTAGCTGGAGATGAAGGTTAATGAGTTTTTATTTTAAACTGTCACAGTAGGAGTTAATCTCACTGACCTCTGACCTTGTAAGTATAGAGGTTTGTGGACTTAATGATCCAAAATAACAGCTTATTATCTCTCTTTTCCAGATAGTCAAAGATAATCTAAAAAATAAATCTAGTAAGACGAGGTTAATTACCTTATTTATACACATTCATCATCAGCTCTGTTAAGTGTTTTTGTCCCTCGGTGTGAAGATGTAGCTGACAATCTGAGAAGTGTTTTTGTGGTTCATAGAATATAATTTTAAAACAACCTGACAGTTTGCAGCTAGCATGATATCTAAATCACTTTCTTTGATTCAATCTATAACTTAGCAAGCACAGCTCACTCTCGATCTTTTCAGCTTTTCAGGATGACTAGGTGATTAATAAACAGACACAAATCAGAAGACAGTCTCTGTTTAATTACCTTTAAAATAGGAGACATAAATACAGACAGTCCTGTCAGGATGAACACAAACACACCAGTGAGTCTCTGCTCTCTGCAAAAAAAGGAAAAGGACAAATACAGTTATCACAAGAACAAAACTTCAATGTCTGTTTGGTATAATTTCATGATTTGGACATTTTTCCCTCTTTTACATACAATAACAAAGTCCCAGAAAAGCCTGAATAATGGTGATTAATTGAGGATCATTTCCCCGATCTCTTTCAGTTTAGCCAAAGAAAAGACAATCCAAATATTTGTAGGAAGTTTGAAGTTGGTGTAGATGCTTCAGTGTCTTGCAAGACAAGAGTTTGTTGGTTCAGCTTACAGCTGACATATCAGAAGCCTCCGGAGGGCGTCACACAACAGACATGAAAACAAACCAAAAAAATCTCTTGCATCTTAATTGGAGTACATAGAGTCACTAATGGGCAGCAGAGTGAACGACTCAAATGGATACAACAAGATTATTTGTTAGTTTTCTTCTCTAAAATACAGTTAATACAAGAGATTAATGTAGTATTTATTTAATTTCATAGAGGTGATGTAAACCCATCCACTTCCCTCAAACAGTATTTGTTTAACAGTAATCTGTGTAAATCTGTGTTTTTTATGTTTGACTTAACTCATTAGCTAAATCAACTTATTACACTTATTACAGTTCAGTAAATGAACTCCAACAAGAGAGTTATTTTGTGTTTTGGTTAGCAGGACATCTCAAACTTTTAGAGAAATGTTGTGGAAAGTCAAATATTTCATATTTGGCTTTCCTTTTACTAATACTTTCTATTAGCATTGGTTGTAAAATTAAATTGTTATAAGTGAACTTCGATGCCAGCTGCAGACAACTTCTGCAGGAGATTGTGTGACTTTTGCTGCCATCTCACCTATAGATGGTGCTACAGCAACAGTGTATTTAATTTACTATGAATCAGTTTTGATGAATCTCTGACTCTTTCAACTCTTACATTTTATCCCTGTATGGTGCTCTAATATTCCCGGATAGGCTTTTGGTATTCTCTAAAACATTAGAGCTGCCATCAGCATGATTTTTGGTCATTTTGTGTATTTTTATGTGGATCCAAATGCTCAGTTTATTGTACGCACTCTCCACCAGTCTTACCTCACACCCAGAAACTTTGGCTGTTCTCCAGGAGCCGAAGTTTCAGTTTCCATCTTCAGACTGTCGATGTGAGCAATAGAGATCACGGTGGCAGCCACGTACCACGGCAGACCCATGAAGGAGCAAAGCACCAGCAGAACAGCCACCCAGAATAGATCCAGATGGTAACCTGCCCCTTTCTGGTACAGACAACAAACATGGAAGGTCAAAGGTTGTGCATGTGCGTGCTCAGGCATAGTCAGTATGCACGGCTGCAGACACAGGCAAACCGTAAACCCGGCAAACATACAAATCTATATATACAAATGTATTCTTTGAAATGATTTTCCAGTTATCTTAGGAACCAGTCACACTGCTGAAATCAAAGAAATCATTGCTCAACTTCAGCAGTGACTCTCTGAACATCTCAAGTAGTTGCTTTTTGAACTGTACTGTGTTCAGTCACTACCATGAAACATCTCTCACCCTCATGAGAAGAATGACAACAATATTTAACTACAGTGTGAAGGTAGCCAGTGTCCTGTACAGACTGCAGTTTGTTGTGGGAAATGGATGAAAATCCTCACATCAAGTAAGACAACCTTTTTTTCAGTTGTTGAATTTCTAATTTTAACTCATTTCACAATGTGAAAAATGCAGACTCAAACATTTCACAGCTATTTATTGTGCAAGCTATGCTCAAAAGCCAGCACTAAATGTAAATCTGAAATCAGCCAATTGCCAATAATGGCAATCCTCCCATCTGTAGTACAACAACTCAAGAGAAGTGACTCCCAAACCTCTACCGCCTCACTCACATACAGTACATCAACCCTGTGAACCTTGTAAGTATTACAACAGCAGTGACAGTTAGCGATTCAAAGACTTTAATCTCCCTGTTCACAAATGACCACCTGGCTTTGAGTTTTCTATTCACCTTCAGCTTGTGCTCCTTCCTGTTGACGATGACAGCAGTAATCTGTTGGTCCATGAAGACCAGTATGGTGACCAGCAGGGCAGGAAGAGCCGATGCCAGGTAAACCCACCAGGGGTTTCCTCCGAACGGGGGCACAAACCAGCCCCGGTTAGGACTTGTTGGCTATGATATAAAAACAGAAGGGTTTACTTTAATGTTTCTGTTAACTCACTTTAATCACTTTACATTTCTGATGATCATTTTCTAAACCAAATGCTGATTGACATTACATTAATTTGGCACATGTTTTTGTCCAAAGGGACTTAAAAGTCCAGCGTGTCACAAATTGGGAGTAGCACTTACGGAGCACGGGGGTACCCACCTTGAATTCAGTTGGCACAATGAGTTTGGGAGTATCGACTCCTACGAGCATATCAACTCCACAGAAGATGAGGATGGCCAGGATGATGGCAAAGTCACTGATGAGTTTCCTCACCTGAGTAAAAGTTAACACAAACATTTCTCTGTAACCTGCTGTTCAAACATTTAGACACCCAGTTTGATTCCTTAAACAGATGACCCATGGAATTAAATTAGCTTAGTGTGGCTGACAGTGACTCACAGTGGTGGGGAAGAACGGGCTGGTCTTGAACTTCTTCAGACACATGGAGCAGGTGTAAGTTCCAAAGAACAGGATGAAGGACATGAGGGTGATGTCTGGGACAAACTCGCAGGCCTTCCCCACCAGCTCTCCTTTGTACTTCAAGCACTCCGTCTTTGTGAGGGATGACCATGTGGTGTTCATTGACTGCACAGAGGGCATAAAGAACATCCTGATTAAATAAAAAAATCAGTAATCCGTGCTAATGAGCAGTAAGTAGGATCCAATAGAGGGCTTTCAGGTAAAGTACTGTAATGTTACAGCTTTTGTTCTGAAAGCTGACTGATAACTGAGTGTGTGAGAAAAGAGAGATAAAGACAAGCCGACTTGCAGTGTCACAGTAACCTCTAATTAGAAACAATGTGCTTATCAGACTGTTCTATTTCCCTTGTAACATTGTTGAACTGACAAACACAACACAACTGTCCGTTTCAATTTTCTCCTATCTAGCCACTTGTGGCTGGTATGCGATTTGTCTTTTCAAGATTGTCAGACCAAAGTCCTTCAGTTTGAACACTGCTTGAAGTAAGTAGACAGCAAACAGTGGCATAGATGACGTATAAACTGTCAAACCAAAACAGTTTTACATTCAAGGCAAATACCAAGAGAAAAGTATTGATCTTACCAGATCAGTGTTGTTCCAGAACCAGAATTGAGTATCCTCTGAAGGATCAGTGATGATGTTTGTACTGTTTTCTGCAAAACACAACAAAACTTCCTCTCAGCACAAGTTTTTTTTAATGCTGCAGTTTTTAATTTGTTTTGCATAACAACGAACACATTGACTATGTCTAAAATCATGTTATAATAGCCCCATACAACTATAATGCTATTTATACACAACAAAAACAAACTCTTGATTGGATGGGGGGAGATAATGAGTTCATTCTTTGTACAATAGCCATTTCATGACTCAGCCTGTGAAGCTCAGCTCTATGGTGACACACTTGGCTCAACTTTCATTCCTCTAAGTTGTGCAGCACCGTTTTTACTTTATTACCGAGTTAAATGCAGATGTGTCAAATGTAGCATGCGTGTTCACTTTGCATATATCCAGCATGTCCAAACATAAGTGTGTCAGAGATATTTTTCTGATGGATATCCTGTTGGTTTACAAAATCCTACCTCGTTGCATTGTGTCCACAACACTGTAGCTACACGTTGAACAATCAAAACTACCTGAATGTGGCAAACTGAGATATCTCCTAAATTTTTTTGGCCTTTTATTGCCTTTATTGATAGTGACAGCTGAAGAAAGACAGGAAAGGTGGGTAGAGAGAGAGGGGATGATCCGGACCTGCCGGCCCCTTTGCTGCGTGTCCATACCCCTCTCTCTCTACCACTTCCTGTCTTTTCTTCGGCTGTCACTATCAATAAAGGCAATAAAGGGGCCAAACAAAATCTTAGGAGATATCTCAGTTTGGCCACATCAGGTACGGTTCTTTGATCTGTTCACACGTGTAGTACAGTGTTGTGGACACAATGCAACGGAGGTAGTGATTTTAAACCAACAGGATACTCCATCAGGACAAAATATCTCTGACACACTGTATCGTTTGGACATGGCTGGATATATGCAAGTGAAACGCATGCTACATTTGACACATCGCATTTACGTCGCGTAATAAATGAATTATATACGGTGTTCTGCACAAACTATAGAGGAATGAAAGTTGTAGCTCAAGTTGTGGTCTAACATTCTAGAGCTGAGCATTCACAGGTGATCATTGAATATTTGGTCGTTTGTACAAAGATTGAATCATTTATCTCACCCATCCAATCAAACGTATGTCTGTTTTTGTTGTGTATAATAGCATATAGTTGGTATGGTGGGTATTTCTTGAAATGTTATTTTATATCATGATTTTAATGATCAGCTCATTATGTGTGCGTATGTTATGCGCATAAGCAAATTAAAATCTTGCTATGTCAAAAAAAAACTGTGTGAACTGGACGAGGAAAGTTTGTTGGTGGTTTTGCAGAGTTTAGATGACAAGTACAAAACAATCCTATACAACTAAATCCTTCAAGTATGTGAAAGCTAATTCATGGTTCTGGAACATACCACTGAGTATAGGTAAGAGATATCTAGGAGATAATTTTCTATTTCTACTTTGGTAGATATATGCGCGATACTGTGAATGTGAAGAAGCTGTTATTGTTGTGAGTTTTCTAGTTATGTTACATAACATCGATACTGTGATGCCCAACCTGTTTTGCAGATGCTACTTACTTCAGCAGCGTGTTCAAACTGAAGGACTTGGTCTGACATCTTGCCATAATCTGCGATACCGCACATCCAGATGGGTGATTACTTTTGGATAGGAGTATTTTATTAAGTGAAACGGACAGTTTGTAAGTGGTGTTTTCAGTTGTCAAGCAATGGATTATCAAGGGATAATGGATTGAACAGTCTGAATAAATCACGATGTAGAACTTAG